CCCGAGATAGACAGCCATGACTTCGTGTTCAGGTGAGTGCCAGACCCTCGCCCAAGCCCACCGTGTTGCCCCTAGGTGGCCTCTTGAAGCAGGAGAAAGCAGCTTTGCTCAGGGTCAGAAGGTTGCTCCTGTACTTACCTGGGACACCAGGCCCCTCACTGCTCTCTCTGGGCCTCAGTTTCCCCATCTCTGCATTGCAAGATGGACTAGATATGCCTGTCTGGATGCAGAGAGGAAACTGCACAGTGCGTCCCCAAGTGGGCCAGGAGCATGGCACAGGGAGGCCTGTGAGAGGGCCAGATTGAAGACTCTTGTTTTATTTTTAAAATTTATCCCCATTTTGCCATCTAGCTATAATAGAGCCATATGCTTTCAATGTAAAATATGTTTTCCCATCACCAAGTAAAAGAGATATTCTAGGAAGTTGCCCCAAGTCTGTCCTAGGTTTCTTGTAACCTGCATCACACCACTCACAAGTGCCCCAGGGCGAGAAGCACAGCATGACCTTCAGGAATTGTCTCTTGTTTCTGTGATCTCTGACTTTACATCCTTAGACCACTCACCTGGCCTCTCGGAGCCGGTATACCAGATATCCAGTGGAAATGTCCCTTGTGAAAGGCAGAGGGTCAGTTTGGGAGTTAAATGGACCTGAGTCCGGAGTGGCCACTTGGTAGCTCTGTGGCCTGGGACAACCTCTCCGAGCTCAGGTTTCTTCGACTCTAAAAAAGGACCGTAAGATGCCAACGGGATACGATTGCACATAAGAGGTAATCATTGGTGGAATTGGTTAGACCGACTGGAGATTCTAAAAGAGGAAAAAATGATGAAAGCCTTTGAACTGTGTCTTAACTGTCTCCATTTTACAGATGAGGAAGACGAGGCCTAAGGCAGGAAGGTGACTCACCTGAGGTCACACCGCAGGTTGCCCACGTCCTGCCACCCAGCTTTCTCTCCCTTCTCCTTCCAGGATGAACAAGGCGCCCACTGTGGGGTTTGAGGCCGATGTCGGGAGCAAGACCACCCATCACCTCATGTACCCCGAGAGCTTCAGGGAGCTGGGGGAGAACGTCAGAATGGTCCTGGTCCCCTTCAAGACCATCGACCTGGAGTGGGTGGTGAGCGCCACCACCACAGGCACCATCTCCCAGTGAGTCCCTCCACAGACCCGCCCTGCTGCTGCCACGTGGGCACCTCTGCTCCCACCACACCCTTCCCTGGCTATGCCTACCCCTGGGATGCCTCCCTCCCGAGCCCCACCTCCTATGGGCCACCTCCTGCGACTGTCCCAACTCTTCCCTGCCCCCCTTTCCTTCCATTACTTTGAACAAACCACAGGCATTAGCCGTCCTCCTGCTAAGGTCTCCCAAATGGACTCCAAAGTTTGCGTCCCCAAGCACCCTGGAAACTTTGCAGTAGCAGAGAAAGGATTCCGCACCTGTGAGCTCTGCCCTGATGGTAGCAGCCCCTTGCTTTGCAAACTGTAAAGTGCAGGGGCGGGGGGATGGGGAGTGCTTGGCTGCCTCTGCTCCTCCTGACCCGCTCCCCACGCCAGGGCAGCACTGAGGACTTTGGCAATGGATAAGTCACTGTCTGCTTCCACGAGAGCAAGGACTCACATTTTCTGAGCCTCTGTTTTGTCCCAGGCACCATGCTGGCACATGGCACATGATATCTCGTTGAATCCTCACGATAGTCATTATTGTTAGCTTCGTCCTCCCAGTGAGAAACAGGCTTGGCCAAGCAACCTGGCCAAGGCTGAACTTGACACAGAGCCTGTGCTCCTACCTGGGGCCAATTCCTAAGCCCTTGACTCTTCCTGCAGAGAAGTGGCTT